TTTGCCACTCAGTAAAATGTTCAAGGTTTGTCATACGCTAGAGGGCGCTCCTGAGAGAGTCCGAAATTAATAGGTTAAGGTGGAGCATTTGGGAAAAATAATTACAATTGCTTAAGGGTCATTCTACAGAAACGTCCACTTTTCTATCTGTCCATAGGAGTCACTGGTGTTACTGATCGTCATTGGTGTTACACATAATAAAGGAACACCAGAGACAGTTTTAATGAACAATGCATTTTAAAAAAATGTCTGCTACAGAACATCAAACCACATGTTGTCAATCATGGAATATCCACTAAATATGTAATTTAATCCATTTGTATTCTATTTTTTCACAATTACCTCAGAATAAAGTCGGTCACACCAGTGACTGCAGCTAAAAGCTTCATATGAAATCATGAGCTAAATGAGAAAATCTCTGATAACTGAAAGACACAGTGGACTCACCATGTGGTTTTCTTCATAGATCCTCAGAAAACAGGTAAAAGGACGTCAAGTGATGTCATCAGTGTGATTTTTATTTCAAAATAAGAGATTATTTGTTACGCGGTAACACCTCTGTAACAACTCTGGCCTCACGTTCGTCAGTGAGCGTGAACTGCTTCACTCAGCCAATGAGCTGCTCGCTTGACAGCCAACTAGCACCCAGTAGCAGTAATCCTGCTGCTCAAAACACATTTGCAGTAGAAACCAATGACATTTACAGATAAGTTTTCTGTGCTTTTTTAGTGAAATACATCCTTCTGCATTCCAAAATGAAAGGAAGGTCCTGGATATGTGATTCGAAATTACTTTGACTTTTCGGTTGTAGCCCTTAAGCTCCATTTTTAACCATACTTCTAGCACTTTGCTGACGAGCCGTGGCTAAGTAAAAACAATGGTGGCTTCCCTGCAAACACAGACATGTTGTGACAGCCTATTGTTTTGGTGCCCACAATAACATAACATAACATAAAATACTTCAATACTGCTGTTTGAACCCTTTGCACTTGCACTTCTGGACGAAATTGAACAACAGCTGGTTTATGAGAAGCCTGGCCACTTCCTATTTCCCCTGTTATATCAAAAACAGGACTGCTAAACAGCAGAGGGCACCCATGAGTGAGTCCTCAATGAACGGGAGTAAATGGCTCAACGACTAAAAACAAAAAGTTAAAATAGTTTCTAATCACTCACCCAGAACTTTCCTTTAATTTTAGAAAGCAGAAGGATGCATTTCACTAAAAAAGCAAAGAAAACTCACCTGTATGTTTTCTTTATTCTACAGCAAACAGGTTTTGGGCAGCAGGGCGCTCAAATGATGTGTGCTGTAGCTAATATCATTAAGGCTCTTGATAGTATTCCGATGTCGTCACAGTTGCGCTGCCATCATTTTGGTAGGTAACATGAAGTTCATTCAGCAGCGCTGTGGCAGTTTGTAATGAGATAGCAAAGCCATAATCAACCCAGCAAAAGCAGTAAAACGCGCTTTTGTGTCCATTTTTTAAGTCTCATTTTTGAAATTAACTGATATATTTGACTGTACTGTTTTGATTTTATTTGATTTGTTGCTGTAATGATAAATAATTAAAACAGAAATCTAAACGGCTGAGATTTCTCACTGCGTTACTAGTGTCCCATCCCAAACCACATACTGGCACACTAAACAGTGTGTAAAAATAGTGCATATCCCATTAGAAGTGCACTAATTAGTGCAGTAGGTGAAGTACAATGTGTGGTTTGGGATGCGGTGTTAGATCAGCCAGTGAGACGCGTTCAGCAGCTGCTCTGCTGTGCTGCTCGTTTGCTGCTCCTTAAATATTTGCATGTGGCTGAAGACCAACAGCAAATAGGTCAGAACGACCACAAAAACATGAAAAGATATGTGGACACTAGATGCTAAGGAAGTCTGGAGAGGCCATGAGATTTATAAATTATTATTATAAATTTCCGGATTGTTATTTTGAGATAACGAGTTAAGCATCTATTTTGCTTTTGGTCTTCAGCCACATGCAGATTTGTAGCTGCAGTAATGTTGATCAGACGATCTCTGTCAGAGAGTCAGTTACTACTTGCCTGCCAACATGGTGGTGTGGTCTTCTTAATGACGTAATCGAATACTATGAATAGGATGATGTTGCCTGATGTTGTTCCTGACAGCACACTCCCCTTTGGGTTCTATTGCTGAAATATATCAACCACAGATATTTAATCCGAAACACTGAAATTCCTCAACTGCTCTGGCCGCTGTTGCACTTTATTGTCCCCCCCCACGCTGAAGGTTCTTAGGGGCAGTCAGTGTGTGTGTGTCTCTGGGGCCTTGCTTAATTTAGCCTGCGGTAACGCTCCCCTTTCCTTCCACATAATGGATGGTCCCGCACACCACCATGCAGGAAAGGTTTAATTAAATCATATTCCAATCATAATCCATGTTGTTAATTAAACTGGATAATTTATAAGTACAAAAGAGGGTATTTATTAGCTGTTCTCCAGAGCTGGTTCTACAGCAGCACATTAAAGAGTGAGTAACCCCCCCCCAGCACACACACACACACACACACTCTCTCTCTCTGTCTCTCTCCCTTACACCCCCCACTCCCACTCTCTCCCCTTTTCTATTGATGCCTCCACATGATTGATAATGAGACAGTGACTGCTGTACTATTTGTCTAATGGCTGTGCAATTAAATCCCCTTGTAAATGACCCATGCCTCATTTCATCCTAATCTATGGAATTTTGATTGAATTTGTCAGCGCTAATTGAAAAATACTGCTATTTAATGTCTGCATTGCAGTTGCGGCTCAGCCTGCCTTTAATGAGACTGTGTCCCTGTGACCCTGCGGAGGGGAGGGGTGCTGTGAGGGGGGGGGTTGTCCTTGATTTGGAACGGGGGGCGCGGAGCAGAGGTCATGGCTTTAGGGTGGGCTCAGAGAAGGTCCCCATAGATTAAGAATAATTTAAGGCATGTACAAAAAAAAAGGCCTACACGGTTTTTAATGATCTCGCCAGAGCAAACGATCAAATACATATCAAATACCTTATAAATCCACAGAGATCTGCACTGTCAGAGTTAATGCTGAGTTTACTCACAGTATGAACACCTCATAACAGAAATACATACTTAGAACAAATATATTACACAGGTTGGACCCATTTTCTCGCATCTTACATGCAAATAATTACCTAGAGTTTATTCAAATCTGGAAAATGCTTTCATTGACTTCATTGAGCAGTTGTACCGATAAATACTCAGATAAATTGAAGGGGAACTCAATTAAGGCAGTATTTTCCATAAAGAATATGAATGAATTCAATTATAGGGTCCACATAGGTCTACAGAGTTACATATATATATATATATATATATATATATATATATATATATATATATATGTGTGTGTGTGTGTGTGTGTGTGTGTGTGTGTGTGCGTGATATACACACCAGAGAACGCTGCAGTGTGTGCATGCTGAGCAGACTGAGTGTTGGTGTGTGTGTGTGTGTGTGTGTGTGTACACTGTCTGGATGAGTGTGTGCTATAGGAGATGAATGGGGCCAGCTGATTCACTGAGGGGTGCGTGAGTGGTGACAGGAGTGGCACAGTGAGATGACATAGTGCTGGGGAGGGAGACCATAACACATCTCAAATCGAGCCTTCTCTTCTGCTCGTACCAGCCTGGAATGAAAGCTCTGAAATGGTGTGTCTATAAGCTATTTATACAACATTTACAATCATAAACACTTTCTAAAACATCATTTTTGTGAAATCTTTCCAGCGCATTTTTGCAGAGTCTTAAAAAAACTGGCATGTCGTGCACGATCTTCGGTAAATGCGCGTAGATTATCACAAAAAGTATTGCTAAAATATTGGGAAATATTGCAAAATGATAAACAATAATTTTATATAATTTAATCCAAAGTTAAAAAATCTGTTATTGTGGTTTTCCTTTGGGGTAACTGCAGCTGAAGGTTACACTGTAGGACATCGTTCATTTTCACTTACAGAAGTCAATTCAGAACTGAACTGCATTTCTGAATTAAATCGTGTTTTAACAATCAGATTCATCGTAAAATTCAGATTCAGATACACAGAAAAGCAACTGTGGAGGCTTAACGTGTATTTAAAGTATTCGGGAACACCATATGACATACTGCGTAAGCTGGTTTAATTAGCCCTGATAGATTAAGTGATATTCCGTATATTAAACACGTATTAGGTAATGTTCTGTATATTGGAGAGAGATTGATGGATATTCTGTGTAGTGAAGGCTATTTAAACGACACAAATTCGATAATTATCTTTATATTGGAAATAGATTATCTGATATTCTGTATGAGAGAGAAAGTAACCGAATTGCACTCTTTATATTAGAAGCATCCAGAGTGATATTCTGTTTATTAGAGGGAGATTAATGGATGTTCTGTATATTTAAGACTAATTAAACGATGCCCTGTAGTTTTATTCTGTAGTTTATATGAGCGTCAGATTGAGTGATGCTCTGTATATCAAACCTGCTCGCGCGCCTTAACGCGTCAAGGCATCACCAAGGCAACGCGTTTCCGCGCGACCAATAAAAACGCTCGCGCCGCCGTGGGCGTGTTCCCGGCGCGTGGTCGCACGCGTTTAAACGGAGGGAGCGCAATTCAAACGGGCCAGTCGATCAAGTGCGATGCGGTGAGGAGGGAGAGCGCGCGCACGCGAGATAAAGACAGTCAGGCTAAAAGTTGCTCCAGGTTACCGCGGACGGCACGCGCACTGGCCCCTGGCATGCCGGTTCGAGCGCGATCGTCGACCTGCTTGAAACTACCTCGGCGCGGCGTGGCCGGCGCTGCGCGCGCCGCTGCTCGGGGCCTCGGGAACGCGCAGGCGGACGCGATAATGGTTTAAGCTGGTTCGAAACGGACGGTTTGTTGTTCTCGCAGGATTATTATACCGAGTTCTCAGCAGCCACACCGGACACAGGAGCGCACCGGGAGCGCGCGCAGCCGGCCCGCGGTCACTCCGCACACGCGCACGAGCTTATGAGCGCGGCCTTCGGCCCTTCATCCTTCGTCATGATGCAGCGTCCCGCCGCCTTCAGCATAGACTCTCTGATCGGCGCGCCGCCGGCGCCCAGCCCCGGCCCGCTGCTGTACGCGGGTTACCCCATGTTCGTGCCCTACCGCTCCGTGGTGCTGCCCCCGCCTCCGCCGCCCCCGCCGCCTCCCCCGGTGGCCCCTCCGCCGCCTCTGCCCGCCACGGCGCACCCCCCACACCAGCTGCCCGCGCTGCCCGGCTCCTTCTGCTCGGGCCTGGCGCTCATGGCCACTCTGCCGGGAGGATTCCCCGCCGCGCCGCAGCACCACGACGCGGCCAGGAAGTTCGGGGGCGGCCAGCAGGCGCTGCACGCGGCCTTCGACAAGGCGCAGGAGGCGCGCGCCGACGGGGACGACGGGAAGGGCTTCGTGGGGAAGGAAGCCACGGCGCTGCTGCCGCTGGCCTTCCACGACGAGGCCGGACACTGCGCCACAGGTCAGTCAGCATCTCACACAACACATATCTACATTATAAGTACAAATATAGGCCCTGTCTGCCTTTATCATACAGATGTAGACGCGTGGAAGCCAAAATATACAGTATTTTGTTTCTTTGCACAGATGATTTTAACATATATTTGGATAAATTATTGTACTTCAACATTATTATGGAATAAATCGCCCATAAACTGCTACAGTTCTCCATCCTGGCGTTTGAAATGCGTTGTGCAGTTAAATAATTAAAGCAGGGAAAAACTGAGCGCTGTTCTACTGTTTTTGTGACTGCAGTGTTTTGCATTATTTCAACAGCAAAAAGCAAACGTTTCACACTGTTTTATAAAACTGAATAATAAGGTGCAGCAGCACGTTTGACACCAGAACATAAAGTGTGTTTTCTCTCCCAAAGCGAAGCCAATTATCAAATTAAATTAATTATTACACTTATTAGTTTCTTTTTGTCCCCTAACAGTTCAAAAAGCACCTCCTTGCGCAGGGGCGATGTTTCAGAATTGCTGTGGCTCACATGAAACGAACGCTTTACACAGGAATAATTCACATTCCTTCATATATTTCATTAAAAGAGTCGAGCTGATTGGATGTCCTCTAAATTTTTGATGACAAAATACTCGAGCCGCAGGAGAGAAGCGCAGAGGCATGAAGCTCACTAATCTTCAAGGCCCTGAGCAAGAGCCTGCAGGCGAACCGCTGCTGTAAATTAGCCTGTTTAAGCTGAGAGATGGAGGAAGAGCACCGCGCTTAAAAGTCCATGAATCTGTGAGCGAAGTCCACATCATTTGACTCGAGAAATCAAACCCAGCACTTGTGACCGCTGTGAGAAATAAAGGTTCTGTTCAGGTACATTTTTCATATATCAAGGTACAAACAGTGTAAATGTTCCCTCAAAGGTACAACAGTGGTTTTAAGGTCTGATTGTGAACCTTAAATAAGTTTTTCCAGGTGAAAAGTTCGTATTTGTACCTTTTCATAACCGAATGTTTTAAAACAGAACAGTAAAATAAAAGCCTGGAGACGAGACGGGGTGTGTGGAGTCAGTACAGCTTAGAACATATCATTTCAGTGGATTATGGTTCAGTTATGTTCCCTGACTAAAGGTACTGAGATGGACCCTTGAGGGAACCACCCCAGTGACAAAGGGGAACTGTCCCAGGGACAGTTTAGTAGCTTTATTCCTGAGAGTGGCACATTAGTGGAACGTGTCACAGAGGAAGGTCAGTTAAAAGTAAACGAGGCGAACACTTTTCCACAGGGTTTATTTTTGCAGTTTGTTAAACGTGGTCCTGGATGCCTCTCGCTCCGAGATTAAGAACTTTGTTTTTCGATGTTTTTGGTGGCTCTCCAAAAGCAGCGCCGTGCGTAATTACGCGCAAAACTGGCCTCAGTAGACTGGACTCGGCTATGATGGGACAAAAGCTAACAGGGACAATTTATTCTATTTTTATTATTCCTCCTGATGCCTAATAGCTCATTCTTTCCAGCTCAGCAAAAATACGTAAATACTGAAATATTTTTAGTGGGGGAAAAAAATAAAAGATCATATGAAATGTTCTCCTTTATTACGGGATGACCGCTAACACCTCATAGACCCTGACTATCCAGCCTCACCAAGACAGCACTGCAGCAGCACTTAAAGGGGAATTCCACTGATTTTTTTTCAAAAGTTCTGCGTAACTCTGTGGTTGGGATGTAAACAAAGTCATTCAAATGGTTCAGTTGCAGAGAAACGCACCGACTCAGATTTCTTTACAGTGGTGGTGACAGAAAACAGGGGTGGCAATGTCTACACGCAAATATGGACATTTTATTTAGATTTATATATAATGTTGATAATGGTATAATAATAGTCCGCCTGAAAAAAATAAATTTTTTGGGGATCTATTTTGCCTTAGAACAGTCTTCATGTATCCCTCTACCATGAATAGATTAAAACAAATTGATTGCAATATATTTGAGGCCAAACTTTCTCAGAACTATCTAATAATGTAGTAATTTTCTGTGAGGGAGCTTTTAGAGGTGGACGTCTGGTTCCTATCACCACCACTGTGGACAATACTGACTGTAAGTTTTCTAGAACAGAGCGTTTCACACCAAACCACTCTGAATGACTCTGCTGGCGTGTTAACCGTTTAAGAAGGCAGAAATGGTGGAAAATCGGTGGAGTTCCCCTTTAAGTTTAGAGAAACTAAGTTTATGGCTGTGGTCATTTTCACCTCCTTCTCCACCTCTGCTTTTTTATCTGGATGTGTCTCAAATCTTAAAATGGCTTCTTCGGACGTTCTTTAGTGAAAGCAGCGGTTATACAGAGAACAGTGATAACTCGAGAGCCTTTTCGGTTCTAAATAGAACCCTAAGAGCTCAGAGTGTAGCTGCTCTCTTAGTGACTCACTCTGTACGAAGTGAGAGAAATCCGTGATGCCTCGTGTAAACAAATAGCACTTTCACAGCATATCGGTTTGGACTTTCCAAACACATAAAAACGCCAGAATTTATGCTGTATTTTTAAAAATTACTCTTAAAAGTGCTGAAGATAATAAGCAACTCTTTAGCTGCTGTGTTGAGTAATTTTGTTGTTGGTGGTTTTAATTCTGGGGTATTAAACACTAAATAATTACACACACCTTACTTCCCTGAACAGCAAACTCCTCTAAATAGCTCGCCAGAATAAAAGTCCATAGAGATTATCGTTCCAAAGCTGCAGTAAACAGTAAACAGTAAACTTGGACGAACAGTAATAAACGTTAAATGGTTTCACGTGATACGTGTCGAAAAGATCTCAGGATGTTTGTCAGAAGTTTAGAGGTCGTATGAGTGACTGTGGTGCTGCAGTCTGTCTGAAACTCCACACTCATTTGAATGTCGGACTATGTAAACAGTAATCAGGAGAAAGGCACACTGTGCATTGTGGGATATCATAAAGAGACGAAAGCGCAGTCCAGCAAAATCCCCAGTGTTGAGTTCACACTGTATAAAGGCTGTATTAAAGCCCCTGTGGATGCCTTTCAGATGTTTAACTACATTTAAATAAATATGTATTAAATTCACATCAATTTTACCAGATTTTTTGATAGCATTTTGAGTTTTTATAGGAGGCTATTTAAATATAATGAAGCTGAAATGACCCCTACAGTCACGGGTGGATCTATAGGCTGTAAACACTGGTGGAAATCTCTAAACACCAAACAAAGCGATTATGAAACGATTCTTTATTCTTTATGATTTCTACAGCCTGAATTTTAATCTACACACTTGTCTTTACTTTTATCCAATACGTTTAAATTAAAAACGTGAATAAAAATAAACATTTTGTTTGATTTTCTGCCACTTTATGTCGTACAATAAAGCATTTTGTGTTTATTTTTCTGAAATGTTTTATTCACACTTAAAATTATGAGCACAAACAAAAATCTGATTGATATTTTGCGCAAAACGAAAAAAAACGAATACTAATAAATTATTTCTGCACTTTTGCTGGAATGTCTGTATTGTCCTTATTAAAACGTATGCTTGAAAAAGAGGGGCTAAAGGGGTCAAAGGACACTATAAATAAAACCAGGCTGTGAATGCTGGTCTGATCTGGTCACTCTTTTTGCTGGTCAACAGTACGGGGTCACACCAAGGACGACTCCAAGGATGACGAGTGCCACCGCAAGGACGACGGCTTCTCCATGGACAGTGACCTGGACTACAGCTCGGATGAGAACGGCGGCGCAGGCTGCGCGCTGGGCCACAAGGACGACGGCGACGCGGGCGATGGAGCGCGAGGAGGAGGCGCGGGCGGCGGCGGAGGAGGAGGAGTAGGAGGCGGCGGCGGAGGCTCGGCGGGCGCGGGCAAGAACCGGCGGCGGCGGACGGCGTTCACGAGCGAGCAGCTGCTGGAGCTGGAGAAGGAGTTCCACTGCAAGAAGTACCTGTCGCTGACCGAGCGCTCGCAGATCGCGCACGCGCTCAAGCTCAGCGAGGTGCAGGTGAAGATCTGGTTCCAGAACCGGCGCGCCAAGTGGAAGCGCGTGAAGGCGGGCAACGTGAACACGAAGGCGGGCGAGCCCTCGCGCAACCCCAAGATCGTCGTGCCCATACCGGTGCACGTGAGCCGCTTCGCCATCCGGAGCCAGCACCAGCAGCTGGAGCAGGCCAGGCCTTGACTGACACTGACCTGGGGCCCTTTTATAGACTCTGAACCAGCGTGTATAAGACTGACCAGGACATCTGAGGCCGAAACTGGACCAAAAAACTCTGAGGGGGACTCGAGGAGCTCGTCTCGGACCAAACCGTGAACAAAAGTGTACATTTAGCTGGAGTTCAGCTGCAGGAGCACTTGGGGCCTCTCTGACCACTGAAAGGACAAACCAGCCTCGCCCCGGTCTGTTAACCCCTCCCCCCACCCCCCCATCCCGGACTGTATTTGTTATGATTGACCCTTACTGGTCTGAGTTCCTCCGACTGGACCCTCTCCCCTGTTTGAGTTGAAGGGGCGCTGCTAATTTATTTGATATTGTGAGAAACGTCGCTACCGCTCGATGGTTTCATTGGTTTAAGATTATTGTGTGGATTAAAGGTGGATTATAAGCAATTGTGAAATATTTTGTCCGCTTATTTATTGGAAGGTACAGAAGACCACCCAGATCAACAGACACAACTGTGCGCGCGCGCCGGGGGCGGGGGGGCGTGTCGAGGAAAGTCAGAGTTTACCGTTTAAATCAGATTAATACTCTCTTCATTCTGTTTAGCTGGAAATCCAACATATAATTATGTACTGTATTATTTTACAAGTATTGTTTAGGATGTGTAAATCCAAAATGTTTGTGGTTATAAATTAGAACAGCTTAAAAAATGTAATCAACAACGACACTAATAATAATAACAATAACAATAATTAATAATAATAATAATAATAATAATTTGCCCCTTTTACCTGAATACTCGGTTTTAGCTTTAGTTCAGTTTTAATTTAGGTTTAATTTAGACTCTATGCAGCCTCCAACAACCCCCTTTTAATTTTATTTATTGTGTTTTAGATATATAACAGCTATTTTATATATATATATATATATATATATATATATATATATATATATATATACACATATATGCGGGTCTGACAATCCAAAGAGTGAGCAAAACCACGAGGACCGTAAAAGAAGACCCTGCGCTGTGTCCGCGTGCACGTGTCGTGTCCAGGTCCGCAGCTTCAGCAGCAGCGAGTCCTGTATTTAATAGCCTATCAATAATCATTATATCAGTAGTCAGTCCACTCTGATCCACAGCACCACTGGCTTCATCGTTTCTCTCTCAGGGCCTGATTTCATATAATCCTATTCATTTTCTCATCGTCGCATTAGATCATATTAGACCAGCTGTTTAGCTGAATCCCCTGATTTCAGTCCTGGTGCTTTCGCATCATCTTCTCTCTGATAAACTCCTCATGCTGAATTCAGCCGCGTCTACACGTAGAAACTGAACTGTGATGATGACGCTGGTATTTTTAAAACATCATAACGAAACCAAATTAACAAACAAAAAAATAAAAGGTAAAAAGGTCAATAAAGGTATTAAAGGTAATAAAATGTCTAACTCCAGATTTCGAACAGATTTCTCTGAGCTCAGTTACCATCAGAGGAGAAACCGCTCTGAACCAGATGAGCCACCAAAGACTATACAGACCAGCAGAGACGAAGGCTGAAATGGACAGAGCTGAGAGGGGCACTGAGTTCAGTAATGAGAATTATGAGAGAAAGGTGTTAGGAAAGGAGAGAGAGAGTGAGAGTGAGTGAGAGAGAGTGAAGGAGAGAGAGAGAGGGAGAGAGAGAGAGAGTGGGAGAGAGAGAGCTCTGACAATTGCCTTAACTCTAATGAATTTTTTTGCAAATTGTAATCAAGGCCGGCCGTCGTAGCTGACAGATAAATGGGCCCCAGGGGGCCGAGCGGGGCCTCAGCTTTTCACCACAGCATGTCCCTCCCGCACTAAATTAACAGCAACTTGTCTAAGCTTCAAATTAACCCCCAATGATTAATTCTGATGGAGAACAAGCCCTAAGACTTGTGCCCCCTAATAGACGCTGCTGGAAGAGCCATAAACCGTCTGATCCCCCCTCCACACACACACCCACACACCCACACACCCACACACCCACCCACACACACACACACACACACACACCTCTGTAAGTGACCAAATCTGTATTAAACAAGCTAAACACAGTGCAAAAAGAAAAGCCAATTTGTTGGGCATTTTATTACCACAATCAGGAAATGATCACCGATCAGTGTCTCTCTACAGGGACTGGATGTATTCAATACATCCATAGGAGCATTTATGAGCACATTTATATTTATATTTTTACTAAAATTTATAAACACAGTGCATTTCCCATTGTCCATATTAGATAGACTGAAAGCACATCTTAAATGAGAACACCAATGTTTAATAATGTGAGCTTAATTAAATCATTAAGATAATTAGTAAACAGTCCACTCTTGACAAACTTACTGAATCAGAATTGTTCACAGTGGTGGTGATAGGAACCAGACGTCCACCTCTAAAAGCTCCCTCACAGAAAGTTCCTACATGAAATGGTTATGAATTCACTGACTGATGACTGAGATATCGCTTTATGATAGTTTGAGAAATTAAAGTTTTGGCCTGAAATATATTCCTTTTAAATACATTCTAGGTGGTGATGTACATGCGGGCAGTTGTGAGGCAAAGTAGCACCCAAAGTAAATTATTATTATTATTATTTTCCTATAATCAGTATTCCATATAAAACTCAGATGCGTAGGTTCACTGGTGGTTTTGGATACTAAATAAAGAGGCTATATCAGCGGCTGCAGACATCACAGCCTTTGGTTCCCATCAGCACCACTGTAAAGAAAGCAGATTCGGCTTCAATGAACTTTTTCTACAATGATTTTTTTTTTTTTTTTACATCAAACAGCTATGAATGACTTTATTTATTTACATCATTTACAATCATGTGAACAGGCAACTATATGGAACTGTTTGCATGTTTATTTATTTCGCTGCAGTCGGAAGAAAACCTGTATCTCCAAAATGGTAATTTTACAGGAGAAGGAAAAAATATACTTTACTTTTAATGTAAGTCAATGGAACCAGAATTTTTTCGAAGTCATTTTGGGCCGTTTCTTTTAGTCCATTCATCATGAAACTTACATACGATGTAATGAGCAACAGGCATTTTCAAATTATGTTAAAAACTGAAAAACGACAGAAATGGAGATAAAAGTTTTCCTCCGACAGCACTGATATAACTCAGATCAATCAGTACTTGATAGGTTAGTTTCTAGGATATGGATTAAGGCCAGGCCTAAATTGGTGATTCACTAGTGGAAATTCATTTTAGTCTAGGCTTAATCTGGGTCTAGGAAAGAGGCCTGGTATGTGGTTTTATTGGTATATCTTCAATCATTCACTCACCGCACTCATTTCATACGCACTAATTATATAAATATGCTTCTATTTTTAGATTTATAGATACTGTGATATGCAAAATATTGGCTCCTGGTCTAATTACATGCTTATTTCCTACACTTTCCACAGGAAACATGCACATTTTAGGGCACATTTCCTATTTATCTGTTTTAACACATTGTAAAAAAATCAAATCTAAAATGTGATGACTTTTGCATAGACCACATTTTACATTTTTGTCCCCATAATATGCTAAATTCAGCAAATAAACAGTCACTGTGCATTAGAATGTGCAGTAATGTGTAGAGGATGTGTTCACTTGAGCAGGGACACCCAAATATTACATCACAGTTGCCCATCAACATCAGAACCAGCATCAGTCGCATGAGGTGTGTTGCTGTCTTACAGATGTTACACTAAAGATTAATTATGTAACAGTAAACTGGAAATACTGATCATTTACAGCACATAGATAACTGATCAGCTGTGTGCACATTTATATACGGCTTAACTCAATCAGTCATTCAACTACATTTAATGTTATATATAATATATTATAGTTTCATATTTTGAAACTCTTTACCAATCACGTTCCCTTTTCTCGTGTCATTCAAGCGGTTTCTATAGACACACTATTACACTGTCTGTCTGCATTAGCCAGCCTGTGAGTGAGGATCCTTGGGCTGCTCTTCTTCCCTCTGAACACTGTGAGATTATCATCACACCATGATGGCTCTGCTCACGCCTCATTTCAGCGCCTCTCTAGCATTCCTAATGCCATTAGTGTGTGAATGTGTGTGTGTGTGTGTGTGTGTGTGTGTGTGTGTGTGTGAACGTGAGAGGCTCACACACACTGATAGATGAACACACAGCTCTGTTAATGCACTGAACCAGCGCTTCGCCTCGCTGGACCCCATCACATTGTGAAGCGGCGCTGATTTATGATGAGAGCTGATCAGACTGGAGTTGGACAAGATGCTTTTGGCTGGCAGTCTTTTCATCACAACATGTGCAGACCAGTAGCTTCCTGTTAACAGCCTGAGCTCGATTCATATTAACCCCTTAACATTCCAGGCTTATTTCACACTAAGGCTTATTACTCAGTAATTACAGGGACTCTAATGCAAACTAATGGAGCTATTCTTAGGTTATAGAAGTGTGTAATAACACTTTAGGCCTGCCAGTGAGGACCATGACTTGTTAAAGGGGTTAAAGGGATTCTTTGGCATTATATCTGAATTTTGCTTCTTTAGTGCTGGAACTTTGTTCTTTTACTACAATACCCAACATGCATTACACAAATGTGCTATAAAGCCAGTGAAAATGATAGACATTTTGGCCCAATCCCATTTCACCCCTACCACTGAGCCCTTAGCCCTCTGTTTTGCACGTTCACGTCTAGGGGTAGGGTGTCCCGATTCTTGTTGAGATAGAGGGGTGGGGTGAAGTGTTGGGGCTACATGACCCTCCAAACGGAGGTTTTTCAGAGACTCCAAACAGAGAGATATGAGAAGAAAGAAAAACAGGTAAGATGGCTGAACAAGAGACCAAAGAAACCCACAAATGTGAGAAAAATTATGATAACCACTGTTTTATCTTAGTTTAATGTTGTTTCAGTGTATTATGGTTGTTTTCTTCATAACAAGCATAAAAATTGCTAATAGCATGCTAATGTCTCAGTAGGTAGCTAGCTAACTTTCCCGTTCCACCTTAAATAGTCCAGCAGTTCTGATGCCTGAACCGCCAGAATGTAACTGCTGCTCCATTTAAGGTGGAACAGGAAAATTCTAACAAGGATCTGGTGAATATCTGACTTCAGCTTCATATCACTGAAGAATTAGGGGTGGGAGATAATAAATAATTGCCCCCCTCTTTGAAGTCATATGATGCCCTAAATGTAACTAAAGCCCAGCAGTGAGGAGCTGAACTTTACCCTCCTCTGCTGTCACTGCAGACTGGCAGGGTCTCCTACAGAGCAGCGCTGGTAGCTGTTAATGAAGTGATGCTCTTTTTATTTGAGGGTCCCATTTCAGAGGGAAGATTTCAACCACTACCCTGTAACTCAGTTCCTATTGGTTAGGGTGACACTCGAAAACAAGGGGTAGGGGTAAAAAGAAGAAATGGGATTAGGCCCTAGACTGCTAGCATAGCCACTAATGTAGAGGCTAATTGATAGACATCTTATTCCGCTTTCTAGCAGTGATTTTAGCTGTCTGGCTTCCTTCTGAACATTTCAAACAGCCAGCTGTCAAGTATCCACCCCAAAGTCCTTGTAGTGTTTTTTAAAGCTCCTCCCACTTTTAGGATACATCATCAGAAGGGGGTTTTCCTATTCTGTAAACTAGAAAATCTCACTCGGGAGCCCGTGTGTTTGACACAAATCAAACCTGTTCGGCCTGCAAAACTATTTTAATTTTCTATTAAAATTAGTCCATTTCACCATGAGCTGCACATCAGATCCCAGCATACACTGCAATGTAATCTGTGCTCCCACCCCCTCCCCAGCAACAATCTAAGGGACAACACCACAAAAAAAAAGATGCCTGGTGTCCAGTTTAAGCAAATATCCAGTTTTAAAACGCCTACTGTACACTGGGGACATTTAAAGAGGTTTAACAGTGATCTGTAGTTAATGTAGTCTATTGTTTTATGTAAAACAATACATTTTTATTTTTACTTATTTTTGAATTGTTCAGGTATTCAGTGCCTGTTTTTTGCCGTAGTAGTTTTGGCATATTTTGAACAATCAATGATATCCCATATAAATAACAATAATGCATAGTCATGCCAAATTAACGTGTGGGAACGAGATAATTAAGGGGACATCACCAGCAGGGCTCTGCACATGGCAAAACGTTGGGTGAAAATAAAATAGAAACAAAGCTGGTTGACTGATTTGTTAAGATGTTTTAATATGGCCCTTTTAGTGGTTGAGTTTGACACCCCTGATCTAGAGACTATTGCTGCGTCTCCATATTGGACAAAGGTACATCACATAGCTAAAAATAGCAGCGGTCATTGTGAAGTTTACATTTTGTCTGTACTTTTCTGTATTTTTAGGTTTGTCAGACAGTGTCTGAAACCACACAGTCTATTCATGACTATTTAACAACATGAGATGGTTTGACATGCAGTTTGCACCACAATGCAAGGCAGGCGTGTGGCTCCTGTGCAAAAACTGAGAAAGTAAACTTGACACTAAACACGTCTTGGCTGATCGACTACGTTTAAGGTGGGGAGAACTGTGTAAATTTCATTTTTTCCCTTAAAGGTTTGGTTTTGTCCTCGCCATAAAAAAGGAGCTTTACGAGGGGTGAAGAATCTCAAACAGCTGTTTAGAGATTCCTGGATATCCACTGTCCCTGAACTTGCCCCATGTGAAGTGATTAACAGAAAGGTGCTTGCTCCATTTCTCAAAGTCTCCATCACCTCCTCTTCCTCTCACACACCGACGCACACACCCATAGCCACAATATCTCTGCTTCCTCTCCATCCTCTCTCCATACACCGCTCCTTTTCTCTGCCAGCCTTGTCTGATCTCTTTAATTACATTCTGCTTCCCCAGGCTGCCCAGGCCTCTTTTGTTCCCCCGGTCAGGGGGCTTTTTGTCCCGTCTCTTCGTCCCCTCCCTGCCCCCTTTTGTGGGGCTGCTGTGGTTTTTCCTGAGAGAGAGGATGAGGAGAGGATTAGAGGAGCATTATCCCATTAGAGCTTCCACAGAGTCCACAGGGCCACAGATCCAAACGCCTTCATCTACAGCAGAGTCAACACCTTCTCACGACGAGCTGCAGAACACAGACTGACGTGAATTGAGCACCTCGTTCTACTGTTTTAGTCAGGTCTGCAAAGACAAGTTCTACATACACGGCTTATCAAAAGTTTGGGAACCTTCTTTTGACATTTCACTTCTGAAATAAATAAGAAAAAATGCCTGCAAAGGTTACAGGGTTCCGATTTATTTCATTTTCCAGAACTTTGCTAAAATATGCAAGATAAAATATCTAATCTGAGTGTCTAAATGTCCCAACTTAACATGTTTCCACGACTTCAGTAACATTTCCATTATATTGGATCCATTTTTCATGTTTTCCAGATGCTTTCCATACTGGAAAACAAGTCTACACATGTCCAGGTTTTCCAGGATGTGTGGAAACTCTGGGTTCTCATAAAACAGCTGTTTTATATATAATATACTTTGGGTATATTTTCCAACACTCATTCTACATGTTCATCAAAGTATCCTCCGTGGTATGAAGAGTAAGTTTTATCTATACAATGATTTGACAGCTTCCTTTTTCAAACTATTGACACTTCAATCCCAAAGGTGGTTTAAATAGCCAAAAGGTTTCGTATTGACATCGCAGGAGGTTTGGTATTATGCCCAAAGCAATACTGTCATAAATATTTATACATGTAATGTGGTAATTAATCATATTAACACTAATAATAATAAAATTATTAATATCTTGGGTTGCTGCAAACTGGCAACGAAGATTATTGGAGATGGCACAACTTTTACAACTTCTTATTCTCTGGTAGTGATACTAAAACACTGAGGCCACTCCAATATCCAGTCCAGCATTTTCTGCTGATATTGGCTCGATATAGATAACCGGTACTAGATCTGTGCCATGTCTAAATAAAATTAAAAAAGCTAGGTGTTCCAAACACAATCATGTCCCATTTTAGGGGCTAGCTAGGTCTCGTGGGAGGATGAAGGCTTACATGCTTCCTTAGAGACACAAACCATCGCATCTTTTCTGTCTGCTGCTATTGGACACTTCAACCCGCTTGGAGGAGAACACTAACTGCTGATTCTGACCAATCAGCCTGTGTTGGCTAGCATCACCCTGAGTGATTGTGGGGGAGAGGGACGACCACCCTACCCACCCAGAGAGATGAAGGCCAATTATGCTCTCTTGGACTCATGGCAATGCATGACTGTGGCATCAAGGATCTCACTCAGGATCTCCCAATGAGAGGGCCAATGCATAAACAGTTACACCAGTGTCCCAAAACTTTTGATGGGCAGTGTATCAACTGACTGGGGAATAAAAGTGATCTGGAAACAAAATAAAATGTGGCTATCAAGTTCACAGCCTCTAAAGCAGTGGTCACCAACCCTGGTTTTGGAGGTCTACTTTACTGTTTAAGCCACAATCCGCTACACCGGCTCCAACTAATTCACTTCTTCCATGATTGGCTGGATGAGATGCATCATTGTTAGGTAATGCCAGAGCATCATGTTAGATACAGGTTAGAATTAAACTCTGCAGGAAAGCAGTTCTGCAAGAGGAGGGCCGGTGACCATGTTTCTAAAGCACAGCTGACCACATCAGTGGACTTTTACCTGAGAACTTAAGTGCAAGAAATATACTGACCAGGCATAACATTATGACCACCTCCTTGTTTCTACGCTCATTGTCCATTTTATCAGCTCCACTTACTATATAGGTGCACTTTGTAGTCCTACAGTTACAGACTGTAGTCCATCTGTTTCTCTGATACTTTGTTAGCCCCCTTTTACCCTGTTCTTCAGTGGTCAGGACCCCCACAGACCCTCACAGAGCAGGTACTATTTGGGTGGTGGATCATTCTCAGCACTGCAGTAACACTGACATGGTGGTGGTGTGTTAGTGTGTGTTGTGCTGGTCTGAGTGGATCAGACACAGCAGTGCTGCTGGAGTTTGTAAACACTGTGTCCACTCACTGTCCACTCTATTAGACACTCCTACCTTGTCAGTCCACCTTGGACTGAGACATCAGGGACGATAGCTCATCTGCTGCTGCACAGTTTGTGTTGGTCATCCTCTAGTCCTTCATCAGTGGTCACAGGACGCTGCCCACAGGACGCTGTTGGTTGGACATTTTTGGTTGGAGGACTATTCTTAGTCCAGCAGCGACACTGAGGTGTTTAAAAACTCCAGCAGCACTGCTGTGTCTGATCCACTCAGACCAGCACAACACACACAAACACACCACCACCATGTCAGTGTTACTGCAGTGTTCAGATTGATCCACCACCCAAATAATACCTGCTCTGTGAGGGTCCATGGGGGTCCTGACCACTGAAGAACAGGGTAAAAGGGGGTAACAAAGTATCAGAGAAACAGATGGACTACAGCCTGTAACTGTAGAACTACAAAGTGCACCTATATAGCAAGTGGAGCTGATAAAATGGACAATGAGCGTAGAAACAAGGAGGTGGTCATCATGTTAGGCCTGATCGGTGTATACAGTAGTGTGAACTGGAGGATGGAGTACTTTGCTGTATAATACTTTCAGTATGTAACAAACAGCATTACAATGCTATGAAAATCAATTCATCTCTGGAATCTTTGGAAAAAGACGCCCAGGACACATAGAAGGCTTAACAGTGTTAACAGAACAACCAGGACAGGATGTTATATTAAGAAGTATTATTTTCTTTATTGAAAGGAGACACATTACAGTATAAGACTCTGCATCAGGTATAATTTTTCAACACAGAACTGTACAGCTGACACAAACTCAATATAATAATAATTAGATATACAACAACGATAATCATAATCATAATGTTGATGATAATCGTGATGCAAAATGGACTGTAAAAGAACAAATACAAAAAAAAAAACAACAAAAAAAATTAAGTAGTGTGAGAGCCCCTCCCCTTTTCAGATTAGCATATTCATTCATAAATAATTGCTCAGGCCTCTCTGGTTCGGGTGTGTCATGGATACTGTCGACAAAAATGAGGTAACAAAAAACACGATAAAAACAAAGTAAACAAAAACAAAACGCGATAATATGTGTTTCTCACATTTTACAGCTATGTACACGAAGTGACAGCTAAATGGCAAGCAAAACTGGTCTAAAAGCGAGGATGCAGGTAAAGCAACTCGAACCCCCCCATTAATCACCTCCTTATTCTGCTTACAAGTGGGGGCGACATCCTTTGGTTGCTGTCATGGTTTCAGTTGTATAGGTGGCGCCGCGGCTCCTTCATTCTTTCCCAGTTCAATAACAGATGACGTACGAAAAATGGACCACTATTTAAATTGGAAGCAAATCTTAACGATAAAAAGAGCAACAAACAAAAAGGAAAAATTATAAAGTTTGTAAGTCGATGTCAAAAATCAACTAAATGAATCCTACAACGGCAAACTTTTGTTCACTAGTGTCACCTGTCAGTCCATACGGTCATGACTGAACATTTACACGATGAAGAAACAACATTTACATCCGTTCATGCAAAAAAAAAAGGTCAGAAACTAAAAGGTCTTCACAGAGAGGACTCGAGGTGGACGCAATAGTGTGGGGTGTTCACTAGAATCGATGTGTGAGTGTAGGCTGTAGTGCATTTCGTCATAAATAACTGGGTACTGTGGTGCGACCTCTAGCAGGTCTGCTACATTTATATACAAGGCAAACACTTCACATCTCTGCTGAGATAAAAACGTATCGCTTTTTTCTTTCCTCCCAGAGTCGGATCTCACATAACTGTACACTCTCTTCAACACAAGTCCCACTCATTAGTGCCCTTCAGAGGGTACAAAGAGCTTTCTGAGACAAGGCCGTGTCCCTACAAGGCCCTGAAGACCCATTTAAGCCAACAGCAGCAGGTTGAACTGCTTTAGTGTTGCAGACTAAAGACTTGCGCTACATTTCTCATTCTCCCTACCTGCTCAACGACAAACCCTATACCAAATGCCGTCATGTATCTACAAACTACTTTTTTTCCCCCCGTAATGACATATGACCTGAAACAGAGTCTTACATCTCTTGGTGCCACACAGCAGCCAATACTGGTGTGGGCGGTTTGCAAACAGCGCCGCGAGGAAATTATTACTTCGGAAAAGTCGCCTGGCTTTCATCCGGCTTTGTATTGCTTAGATACAGGTCAATCAGGGCTGTTTCTGCACATCACAAACACACGATGGGAGACACAATGTTGTTCAGAATAAAGGCGAATAGAATGGGAAGGACACTGAATAAAAAGAGAAAAAATAAGAGAGAGAGACAGAGAGAAAAACACTGGACACTCTTAAAAGCAAACATGCCAAACAGGATAGTTGGAGCGATGCCATAGAACAGTGGTCACGAATCCTGGTCCTGGAGGTCTGTCTTCCTATGAGTCTAACCGCAAAGACAACCTGCCACACCTGCTCAAGCTAATTATCTTCTTCAGAAATGCTTAACAAGCTAGATCAGGTTTGGAGGGGAATGCAGATCTAAAGGAGGAGGATTGGTGAACGCTGATGCAAAAGAATCACATTTAGTTTCCCTCAAGCAGAGGATCTCAAGCTGGTCCCCCAACACAGTTCACATTTTTGCCCTATTCCAATGTGTTGTGGGTTGGAGCGAAAACGTGGAGCGTCTGAGGGTCCCTGAGGAACATTTTAACAAAAACTGCCGTAAAAACCTTTGAATTATTTTTGAAAAATTCAATTGAAACTACTACTGAACACTCTTTTGGTAAAACAAAGGTGGTTCTTCTATGGCATCGCTCCAAAGAACCATTTTTGGCCATTTCAAAAGTGTCAAATAGACTGAAACATACAGACTTTCATATGACACAGCATCAACCTGGCACCACAGAACTCATGTTAAAAGATAAAAGCTTTTTTTTTCCCCAGGAAGAACATTTTCTCTTCATTTCCACCACCATCTTTAAAAGTCAGAGCGTAATAGAGCGAGAAAGACAGGAGGGGATTAGACAAAGTAGCTGAAAAAGTCCATCTCTTCGCAGAGCCCAATAGGGCTCTGGACTCGAAGGCCTCGGCAGATGACGTGTGGGAAATGAATGAGATGTCTCTAGCAACGGTGACAAATGACCGCATACACACAAGAGCTTCCTCAACTGGCAAGAGTCTCTCCGGCATAAATAAGTACATAGTACGAGTACATAGTAGAGAGTTTCTCCTGCTTCTCCTGAGCACCTGATATTGAGTGAGCACAAACAGATGAGGCAGCCTCTTCCCCTCGCTGATGTTTTCGTCATAAAGCATGCGGAGAAATGCAGACGTGGGCATCGGCGTGCGGGTGATATTGACGGCCTTGCGAGGTCGCATTCCTGCGCCAGCCTGCATGCTGTTTCATTTGTATTGATCAATTATCAATATGGCTAATGCGAATAAGAAAGCTAAACGACTCCTTGCGCTCTCGCACTTTCGCTCACACACATACATGGACACTCGCGGTTGATTGTGGCTAGCGCTTCGGAGGAGATTCAGAGAGTCAGAAGCCCGAGTCGCCTTGCCGTCACGCGACCATTGGGCTGAATACACAACCTGATAGTTTGCATTGGGAAAAAGCATGACGTAGGCTAGCAGCCAAGGATCAAAGGACAGTAGGAAATTCCCTTTAAGTTCTGTGAAACAGACAGAAGACTGGAACAATAGGTTAGGAGCACAAAGCTAGTGCCGTCCACGAACATGGTTTAGTTTCGATACCTGCCTCTCACGTTTCTATCTTGGCTCTCGGTCAAACCTTCCTCTGGTCCAACAAAACTCCACACAAATCAGTCACAATGATAGAATAGAATAAAAAAAAAAAGTTAAAAGAAGCATCTTCATTTCATCACACTTCTGGGAGACGTGCGATGGGAGTTTTTCTAGATTTTATAACATATTTTTTCACATTTCTTAAAAAAAAAAGAAAGAAAGAAAGAAAGAAAGAAAGAAATCCATACAAAAGAGTTGGAATTTACACGATCGATGGTGGTGGTGGTGTCTTGTATTTTTTTTTGTTTGTTTTTTTTTTAAATAAATGCACTGAAAAATATGAAGGAAAAAAGTGAACAGGGTGAGGCAGAGAGAGTGAGGACATGGAGCAGTCTAAAATCGGTCAGTAAAGACCTCTGTAAAGTTCTCTGGGACCTTTGGGATCAAGTGACCGATCCCGCGTCACATCCTTGTCCCTTTTAGTTGCGCAGGAAACGGCAGCCAGTTGCTTTGAGGAGTCTAAATGGCCTCGTATTCAGCTCCTGGTTGAGCCTCACCGTAATAATCTCCCATCATGCATCTCGCAGCATTAATTGACAGAGACAGCAGCAGACGCATTTTTTCCCATGCATCCTGATGCTACTATGCAGCCTGAAGACTGAATGGGCGGGGCGTTCTCCCAATATAGGTCACCTGACATGGGAGGAGCTGTGTGACGAGCCAGGCGTTTGCCATTGGAGAAGTAGGTGGGTGAAACGAGTGTTAAAAGCTCCCTCACAACAAGCTAGTGGCGGCGCGAGGCATCGTGAGTGCAAATGCAGTGGTTCCGTTAGCGTTTCTTCATAATCATCATCGCGGTTATCACAGTCATTCCCATCAGTGTAGTATATACTTCTCTCATGAATTGAATCTAGTGGTAGGGCTGTACATGTGGATGTGGCTGTGGCTGTGTGTGCTGAAGCTGAGAGAAGGCTGAGTGTGTGTGTGTTGTGTGTGTCTGAGTCATTCGGAAGGTGCGTGAGGTCGTGTACGTGTGTGTTGGGTGGATATGTGTTTCAGATAAGGGCTGAACTGCCCGTGCTGCTGCAGCTGTTGTTGCGGTTGTTGTTCCTGCGGGACAGGTTGGGCGTGGCGATGAGCGGGTAGCGCTCATCCGGACAGCCGTACTGGAGCAGGATGTCCACACACTCCTGGCTGTTAGCCTGCCGCGCGTACGCCAGCGCTGTGTTTCCATGGGCGTCCCGCGCCATGATGTCTACTCCGTACTGGAGGGAGAGGGAAAGCAAGAGTGGGAGAAAGTTGACAATGTGGTAAAACATGCTGTCGCTGTCTAAAGGAAAACAAGCATCTCCAAAATAGTAACTTTACAGGAAAAGGCAAAAACACTCAAACTTTCAATGTACATTAATGTAAACAGATTTTATTCCAAGTGATTTTAGAGCATTTCTACTGGTTTATTAATCATGAAGTTTTAATATAACATAAAGGACAGATGGTGTTTTGAAATGATGTAGAAAAATAAACATTGACAAAAATGGGGATACATGGTTTTCTTTGGACAGCGATTGAATGTTACTAGTGTTTACTTTAACAAGGCCTGTCACAATTATTACATAATTGCCTAATCACAATTATTTGCAATGACTGCAATTATTACACACTAGATAAAAGTAATGAACAGTAAATGCATTCATTCGGTCATCAAGCGACTTCTTTCTTCTAACTTGGTGCTCAAACATGTTTAGAGGTCAGCAGTGAGTAATGTAGGTCTATTTGTAGCTATGTAGCTAATGCTATTGTTATAGCATGTATGCAAGAATAATGATTGTGCTTTTTTCACTTTGAAAAGCTTTGCTTGACTCTATATATGATTCTTTGTAACTGCAGACATTTGTGTAACGTGAGCGCTTGCACAACAGCGAGTGCGTTTACATGCACTTAATCAGAACTGCAGAATATCAGATTTGGTCAGTAATCCGATCAACACGTTTATATGCACTTGAGTGATTAGATAACTGGAAAACTCCGGGACTCCAGGCAGTGATTAGGTTTCTGCTTTGCAACCAGCTAATAGACTCACAGAAGACGGGACGTAAACGTAAAGTAAACTTAATGCTGCAGGTTTTTTTAAACATCGAGTCACATCAGAATGAATGTTTAAATTAATTTTGTCAAGCATGTGGTTGGTTTCAGTGTCGCTCCAGAAGTGCTTTGTTGCCATCTCACACGAACTGAGAAGCTTATTTCCAATTCCGCGATCTGTTTTCGCACAAGCGCAGACTGAGAGATATGAACGAAATCAGAGTAAGAGTTCACACGCACTGAGAAATCTGATTACTGAGCTAAAATCCAGCTCTCTAAATCGTATTTCTATACCTCACTCTGATCTAAGAAATCAGACTATGCTGTTTACATAACCATTTGAATAATCAGACAACCACAGAAATTCAATTATGATCAGATTATTGGGTGCGTGTATACGCACTCAGTGTCATTTTGACAGTACCATTAGAGTTAACTACTAAGTGGACATACTTAGGAAGTAAGACAGTTAATAATCAAACAAGTTTAATGTGTCAGCCACTTTAGGTTTGTACTGTAATAACTAAACTGAACAAGAAAAAAATCGCATTTTTTATATAACAATTAATCGTCAGCTAAAATATGATGATTGTGACAGCACCATAACTTTAACATCTAATTTGAACAAAGAGGCTTTTTCCACAAAACAAATTAAAAATTAGTTAGGTGTAAATTTTTGCTGCAGACAGTTAATAAATATACAGCATTTTTAAAAATAAATATTCATGTTTGTTTATTTATTTATTCATTTATTTATTATTACAATCACATCCAAATATTTGGCCTGCAGCGTATAACAGGCCTCATTTTAACTAAATGCTCATTTTTCACCCTCATCTATAAGCCATGATTGATACTGTATTGTGTGCTGAGACAGACCAAAAAGTCCCATACCCAAATGAGGAGCTGTGTGAGGACCACGTTGCCCTTGCGGCAGGCTAGGTGCAGGGCGGTGCGGCCGTCTCCCTCGCCACACGTCTCGTTCACCTCGTCCCGTGAGCCGTGGGCCAGCAATAACACAACGGCACGTAGGTCCTCCTCAGCCGTGGACCGCAGCAGCTGCTGCCCCAGGGGCAGCTCTGTGCACAGCAGAGACGCCACAAACAGCTTCTGCTCGTACTTTGCCCGGATCCAACGCTCACGCTCCTCCCTGAATATGAACACACAGAAGGTGTCAATCTGTGACCTTACAGAGGTTTGATTATCATTCTTTAGGAAACGATCAAATCTGAAATTACAGCACAAATTTAATTCAAGTTGATTATCCTGGAATGACTCAATATTATTAAAAATACATGAAACGCACAATGTTAACTTGCAAACTAGAGGAACACAGACAATTAAAAAGTGAGCATTTTTCAGCATCAGGAAAGAAACAGAAAACATATCTAACAGAAAATTACACAACTACTAAACATAATTTATAATTATTGGATTCTGAAAGGAATGGAAGCTGCAGTAAAGGCAAAGGTGGACATACTGAAAATATATTATTATTATATTTAATATATTATTATATTTTCAGTATGTCCACCTTTGCCTTTTCTGCAGCTTCCATTCCTTTCAAAAGACTTGCTTTCAGTTCCTCAAAGAAATCTGCAGAAACTTTTCTACACATTTAAACTGAGTCGTAGAAGTTGGTTGCTTTTTCTGCTTCTCAAGCTCCAAGTAATCCCAAACGCATTCTACGATGTAGCGGCTTCTTTCCTTCTTGATGCAAGTGGATTACCTTATATCTAATCTCCTCAGAAATAAAATAAATGAAGGGTCTGACTTTTGCACTTTACTATTTTATATATATATATATATATATATATATATAGAGAGAGAGAGAGAGAGAGAGAGCGAGAGAACACTACAAAATCTCTACTCTTGATTCGCCACATTAACATCGATGCTTTATGAGTGAAAACGTTACGTTTCAATTCAGCCCTCATTTGAAATGACATGAGTTGATGGGGATTTTGTGTCGGCTTCTTTTTTTTAACACCACATATTCCTCCACATTTTTAAGCAGTGTCTAAGCCCCATGTGTCAAACACAAGGCCCGTGGGTCAGATCAGGCCCGTGGCACAATCCAATCCGGCCCTAGAAATTATTTTGTTTTTCTATTAATATTAGCCTGTTTCACAATGAGCTGCACTACAATTCCCAGCATGCACTGCAACGTAATTTGCACTGACATCCCCTCCCCCAACAACAGTCTATGGGACAGCCTTTTTCTACACAAATGCACACATTATATCACCAAACACATGAACTGTGCTTCAGCTGCAGCTCAACCAACATAGTTAAACGTACCTGCTGGGGACATTTAAAGAGATTTAACAGTTATCTAGCTAATGTAGCCATTATATCAAGTAATCGCAGATAACATTTGAAGGTTTCCTACAAGTGGCTATATTTGGCTGTTGATGTTTTGGCGTATTAAAATATATAAATGCTTTCTGGCCTTCGGATTTGTTGAGATTTTTTTAATATGGCCCTTTTAGTGGTTGAGTTTGAGACCTCTGGTCTAAGCCCTACATCACACAGCCGAATTAGACCTGAACACACAGCTCGTAAAACAATTTTCAGCCTGTGTGCGCATGAAACAGCGATACACAGCATACAGAGAGAGAAAATACGATGAACAAAGTGAGAAAGAAAGAAAAAGCAGGAAGGACAGGAAACAATCAATTTAAGGAGCTGGGTATATGTTTGTTTTGTCAGAGAGAAATGTCAACCAAGTCCATCCTGCCCAGCCCGAAAGGGGGCTATCAGTTGGCTGTTTCCAGCTCTTCCTGCTAATCCTGTGCTATGATAGCACTAATCAGTGTTAATCCTTGCAGTGTAAACAGCTCCATTCAGGCCTGGCTAGGATTAGTTCAGGCCCAGCTCCTGTCTGAGGGTTTTGGGGAATTGGCTGAGCCCCGGAGGAGCGCATGGCAGCAGGGCGGAGGATATTGAGCTGTCCCCTGAACCACAGCTGCCCCTCAGGGGGTCCCAGCTCAGGAAACCAGAGAACAGAGGGCAAGAGAAACCCCCTCCAGCTCCAACTTCCTCTGCAAGCAGGGCAGCTGCAAAAAGAAAGCAACACTGTCCAGGGGCACTCACTCCGACCACAGCCTCAGCCTGATTTGTTGGGTCATTTATAAAAGCTTCTTTGAGAAGATAACTGTTGTCTGTCAAAAGTTTGGAGACACTTTTCTCTCTCTTGAAATTATTTTCCTGCTTCCATACTTTTAAATTAACAAAAGAAAATATCTGCAAAGGTTTTATTAAGTCTAAAACATGTTTAGACCGAATAATGATGCATGTTCTTTTCCAAACTGTTGTTAAAAGCACATACGGAAACATTTTTGTCCTACAGGTGGTTTAAATACCTGAAATATTTGCTTGTTGACACCACAACAACATGGGGCTTTATTTACACGATACTGTAATCGTTTTCAAAGTCTTTACTATGTTAAGTTATTGCAAACAAATATGGAAAACATTTGAATTTAAGCATTTTGAAAAGTTTTCTGACAGACGTATATATTCTAAAAATAATCCACGGTGCAGCGTGCAGCAAGCTAAACATACTGCTGGTCAAACAAACTGTTAAAGAATAAAAACGTCAAAAATAACCTTTTACTTCACAAACATCTTTAAGCTGATGAAAACTCTGATGACTGATATCAGCAAATATAACTGTATACTGTTTGCAACTAATGATTCCAATAGGTCTAGTTAAATAAGGGTTTAATACACACTGATATATTGATTGTTGACTGTAAATTGTCAAATATTATCGTCATTCCTCAACTGCCAAATTTCGTAAACAGCAGATACTCACAAAATCTTACATTACATAAATATTGTAGAACTGTCCAGTCATAACATATACTCATGCCAAAAGTATTGGAAGCTTTTAACATGGTTTTGTTATTTTAAACATTATAGTGTTTTGTTATCATCACTGTGAAAGGTAGGAATCTGATAACTGCCAAGTCAGCAGTGTCCACAAAGATCAAAGCATAAAAATATTAAAATGCTTAGATGTGAGAAGTTCAAAATAACATAAAACAAGCTACAAAAATATCTGCACTTTATCTGCTGAATTTCACTGATAAATTTATTGTATATCGAAGCATATCGGTCAGGCTTTCCTACAAACAGCCCATCCATGATGCTGATAAATTAGCTGTGTGTGGGTGTCACGGGTCAGAATGTGAAAGAGATAACATTTTATCAGAGAGGCAGATGGATAGAAATAGGCGATCAATGGCCCAAGGGATCAATAACATGGTGACATCCTTCTTAATCAGAAAACAGCCCCCATGCTGACGGCCCCAAACACCCCATGGCACAAAGATTTCCTGTCCTTGCATGTTGCTTAACTGCACAGCCCTCATTTGTAAACACAGTCATATGCAAAATTTATGCATCAAATGCGTCTCTGGTCAAATTACATGTTTTGCTGATTGAAGAGAAAATAAGTTAATAAGTCCTCTACAGAGAACACACTTCTCCATACTTTTAAAGTATAACTGATGTTTATTTGTTGACTTGAATATATATATATATATATATATATATATATATATATATATATATATATATATATATATATATATATATATATAAAAATGTGTGTATATACATGTGTATATATATATTTATATATATTTATATATCACTGTTGTCGGAAGACAATCTGTAAATGGTTTTACTTTAAAGTTTTAACTTTACAGGAGAAGGAAAAAGCATACTTTACTTTTAATGTAAGTCGATGGAACCAGATTTTTTCCAAGTAATTTTGGGCCGTTTCTTTTAGTTCATTCATCATGAAATTTACATACGATGTAAAGACCAACAGGCATTTTCAAATTAGGTCAAAAACTAAAAAAGTCAAAAATGGACATAATTAACAATTAACAAAAAAATTAAATTTTATATATATATATATATATATATATATATATATATGAATGTATAAAATGTTGTCTGTCCAAAAGTTATGGCGTATTTTATATAGCATATATCAGTTTTTCCCCCCAATATGGTAAACTCAACAAATAAACAAATTGTGCACTACAATTTCCAGTAAACTGCCATATTTTAATTTGTTCTCTGCAGATGATGTATTTTTACTTACGAAATCAACAAAACGCATCATTTTGGTAATTTTGTTAGGGGCGTTTGGGGACATATATATGACTGCACCATCATGGTGTCCCAGACAAATTGATCTCTACCCATTAGTTGATCTCACACACTGTCTGTTTTGAGACATCTTAAAAAAACAAGTTGGAAAGTCGCTTCTGAATCAATCTGCTCAATTTTCAAAGGGGAAAAAGCTGTTCTGTAACAGTGAAGAGAAAGGAGATAAACAGCAGCAGCTGTGGGAACACATGAGGAATTGTATTAAGTGTGCATGCTCCGAGGCTGGGGAGGGGTGGGCGGGTGGTTCTAGCAGCACGGAATGTTCCGGGGTGCCGCCGCTGGTCAGTACGGGGTGAGTGAGAGGGCCGGGCGGGGGGCCACGGGCCACAGCCTCTGCACAAAGCATCGTGGGAGCTAGGGAGGAGAGGGGGTAAAGGAGGGCAGGGGAGGGGAAAAGGAAGAGGCTCTGCAGGGTATCCCAGACCCACCCCGATTCTGCCGCCAGAGGAAATACAGAGCACTTCAGTGCCCACAGAAACGCATGCCTTCCCTGAGGAGCAGCGTTGCCAAGGACAGAGCCAGAGACGCACCAGCAAACTCAGACTGCGGACCAAAACACAACGACAGGAAAACGGAAATGTTTGCCTCTTTCCTCACTACAGAACTGTGGTCTAACCTCTTAACATATAGGCTTATTACTGAGTTAGTATCTTACTGCTTATAACTTACATTAAGCCTAGTAACTACTATGAGTTATTCAGTAACAGCTACAAATTATTTGAAAACCGCTATGAAACTAACGCAATTTTTGCAGTTTTGGAAGTGAAGAAGTGAAACTGGAATTTAAGTGAGAATAACGGTACTGAAGTTCCCTAATGAGATAAAATCAGTATTAAATCTGAACAGTGCTTTTAACAGAATATAAGTTACACTATAAGGATCGTGATGCTTATTACACTTATTATACACTACAATCAGTGTGTCAAAGGGCCACAGTTCAGCACAGTTTAGAGTTTTACT